CAGTTTTTGTTTCTTCAAGGCCAAATTGTAGTTTCTAAACAGTTTACAATAATATCTGTTTTTGACATCTTTCATTGGACTGAAGTTATTTTCATAGAAAACGTAAGATAAATTACTGGCTGATCTACTGTGTTATTCCTTCCCAGTATGTATGCCTTATGTACCTGTCTAGAAATTTCAAACTCTTTTCCTGACTGTGCTCTAAGAATTCAGTTTGGTTCAAAACACCTTACCTGGTTGAGGGCAATCTCAATATCTCTTCTACAGTAGTATTTGTATGAGATCATTCTGCACACCATTTATCTGTAAAGGCTGAAAACACTGGAAAAAAAAATTGAATCTTTCTGAATCTGTCAGATGGCTGCAGACATAATCCCAGAGACAAATGGTGCCGATTGCTTTGTAGCTAATCCTGAGTTATCTCACAATAAATCTTGATAATTGAAAAAATGATTAAAGAACTGGTCAGTGGAAAAGCTCGACCAAAGGAACACTGTGAAATATTTCAGTAAGCCTGTGTGGAAAGGCTACTAGCCTACATTTCCTTGTTGGCTGCAGAAACAAAAGCAAAATGTTTGCATTTGCAGCCAGTGTGAAAAGACAAACAACTGGCATTATGGATATCTGTCAAACAGCAGGTGGCAGCAACTAGCCATGTGTGGCTGATCTGAAAAAACTCAGTAAGATTTTAAATAGGTAGAACTGTGATGGGAGACCCCAAGGAATTGCAGTGCTGTAGATTAAATCGGGAAGTTGATAAAAGCTTCCCAAGAAGCTAGCACCCCACTTTTGTAATGTTGCCAAGCATGCAACATAAACACATCTATGAAGTCGCCCCTTTTGCCATTTAAAGAAGATAGGATAACTTTATCATTAAAGAATCCTTCAGCCAAGCATAATGGTGGGGCAGAGACATTTCTATCACCGCTCTCCAGATGGTAAAGCAAATAGAGGCATTCTTTTTCTTTTGTGTTCCCCAGCACAAAGCTTTTGGGAACTTGACAAGTTTTAAATAATGAAATGGGTGACTTAAATGTTGCAGAAGGTTAAGGTGCCCATTTTATCCTTTAAAACCCTTCTCAGCCCTCTCAAATCAAAAGACTCAAATCTTTGTCTCCTGATTTCAGTGGAGGAGGAGGAGGAGGAGGAGGAGGAGGAGGAGGAGGAGGAGGAG